CTTGTTCAAAAATTATTAGCTTCGTTCCAAAATAAAAGAGATAGCTAGGTTTATGATGTTTGAGTGTAGTTATATTTAATTCAATTTATTTCAAAATTGGTATAGAAATAAAAAATTTGTACAAAATATATTTAAAACTAAATCAAAAGATCTACTACCTCTGTCCTAGAGTATTTGTCCACTTTTATTTTTACACATCATCCAATAAACTTCTTTAATCCATTTTATCTTGTAATTTGTATATTAAAAAATTATAGAAATTATATACTCCCTCCGTCCCATAAAACCTTTCTCCTTTCTTTTTTTATCTGTCCCACAAAACACTTCTCATTTCAATTAAAAAGTCATTTTTAACCCTTACTTTTTCATACCCTAACTATCACATCATACCTTTTTACTAATAATCTATCCATCAAATCATACTTTTACACATCACATCAAAGGACATTTATGAAAATTCAATACCAAAATACACTCCCCTTAAATCCCTCCTAAAAAGTAAAACTCCCATGTTTCACGGGACGGAGGAAGTATTAATAATCTATATGTTATATTTAGGCTTACACATTGAGAGAATTTGATGAGTCAAAGTGCTTAGATGAACAGTTCCAAAAGTCAAAAGTGGACCAATACTCCGGGACGGAGGGAGTATAAAACAAGAGGTGACACCACTATATTACTTTATCAAATGAGTAACAAAAAATAGACAAAGTGAATAGAGTGTGACCATGTTATGAGTGAATTGGGCTTAATTTTTGGGACGGGAGGAGTATCATTTAGAGATAGATCCTATCCAATAACCTAGGAATCACGAGTATTTGAATTGAATAAAGAAAGCAGTCCAAAGTGCCCTGGGATAAGTAGATCATTACTACGAGGTGTCGCAATTCAAAATACTCAAAAAACAACTATTAGTGTTAGCAGACTTACCATTATATTGAAACATCTTGACATGTACAACAAGAAAAGAGAAATAGGCTTACAAAAAAAGAAAAAAAGAAAAGAAAAGAAAAGAGCAATAGGGTTCAAGCTTTCAAGTACTTACAGCATTGGTGAAAGCAGACAAAACTTCAAGTCTCTTGTACCTAAAAAAGGGATAAACTCATTAGGCATTCACTGAGTTTCATATTCTCTATTAAGCATAAGGATGAGGCCACTATTCATACAAAACTGCCCTCGCTTTATTTAGAACAAGTTCCCCGCAAAATTACGAGGATGTATACCTAGCAGAGGATAGAGTCCACCACCCATCCACCCCCTACTAATTATAAAATCTCTTGTCTTCAATGAGGGAAGAACCCGCATTTTCACACAATCTATTATGCAAATTTCTAACTCAAGCCAAGAATAACAGAATACATTTCAAACCTCACCCATATGTGTAGGTACCATCAGGCTTTTTCCTGGAAATAGCCATTGCAAACAATGAAAATGTTAAGAGACCACAACCAAATGTCAAGTGAAATGCATCGGAGACCAGACCTGAAAAATAAAAAATTGATAAGCATCAAAGATGCAAGGGAAGGAAATCCAGGGGAGAGCATAAAGCTAAATGCATAGGTTCTTCAAAGTACACTTATTTTAATTCAAGGTTTGATCTCCAAATGGAGAACAATAATTCCTTCATCAATCAGCATCAGATTGAACCAATATAACCCATAGAACAAAACTGAATGCACCACTATGGAGGAGACAATGACTACTGACAAGCATATATGTAACATGATTCTGATTCCAAGGAAAACCAAGATTTCTCTGAACTTTTCCCAGTGTTAATCCATAACAACCACACAGTAGATTCACAAGACACAACTCCAAACACTGTATTCATTCATTCTTAAGCTGAACCTAAGTCAAAACTCAAACAGAGAGAAAGGTTGGAGAAACTCCGCATACCTACTCGGCCTGAAAAAAGGCCAACGCATAACTCAACGGTAGAATAAGCTACATTCAGTGAAATCAACAGAAACAGCCTCCTCATCGGCTTGTTTCCCGATGTGACGCCCCTAAAAACAGCGGATATCAGGGAAGAAGCCGAAAATTTATCGTCAGAGATCTTCGATTCCGCAGGAAACCTCTCGGACGAATCTCGATAGTAGATGTCCGGTATATCGATGCTCGAGACGTTCCGCATAAGAAGAGGCTTCGAGAAACTGTTCGATTGTTGAAAGGACGCTTGCCGTGAAAATGCGAATCTCCGGTCACTGCCGCCGAAATCGAAACCACCGCCACTCGACGGCGGTCTCGGCGACTCCGCATCCCCCTTCCGGTAATTAATCCTTGAATCGTAGAGCTCTGTAGCCATCGGACTTTCCATTTTCGTAAATACGTGAAAAGTCAGATCAAATGTGCCTTGAATGGGAGTAACCAGAGAGAGTGAATGGCGGCGGTGCCGCGGGTGTCAGACGGTGGCCCATTTACCGGCAGTCAAAGAAAACGGCTTTTAGAAAATGGAAATAAAAAAAATAAATCCCAAAATAACTCGCTCGTGTAAAAGAAAAACTGGAGATGCGGGGGATCGAACCCCGTGCCTCTCGCATGCAAAGCGAGCGCTCTACCATTTGAGCTACATCCCCTTTGCTAACGTTGCATTACATTCTTATTATTCTCTTAAGAATTATGACGTTAATACGAAGTTTGACTCAATACACATCACAAGTTAGATACACAATTTTACTTTTTTATTTCATGTCTTGTTCACAACAATGAGAGTCATTTGGTAAAGTGAAAGTATGAGTTATTTTAACAAATTATTTAAAAATTTATGAAGAGTATACCTTTTTTTAAAAATGATAAAGTACGTAAAATAAGATGGTGAATATAACAATTATATTATTTTCATTATATCTTTCAAAATAAGATGGTGTAACTTATCACTAATTCTCATTAAATGTGTAATACCTATAGAAGGATAGTGACAAATATTTAAAATTGCATGTTACAGTCATCATGCATAAAATAATATTCTGAGTATTAGATTCTTACATGTATTATAGACAGATATTACTTCATAATAATCAATTTAAGATTTAAACTTACTTTATTTTTTTTCAAAGTATTGAGCGAATACATATCTATAAACAAAAATACTAATGACTAAAGCACTCCCTTCAGTTGAAAAAATTAAAGTGTCACAGTTCACAATTCAAAAATCAAAGAAATTTTCATTTATTTGTACATTTGCATTAATTATTTGATAAAATCAAATATTAATGTCACATCTTATTTTGAAGAACTTATTATTTATTTTTTAAATATGTAAATTTTATTTTTATTTCTATATCAATTTTTAAATAAGATAAATTAAAAACTTTAAATTTCTCTTCATTTTAAGTAACACGACATACATTTTAGGACGAAGAAAATATTAAATTAAATATTCTAAAAAGTGAAATAAAAAGAAGGGAAATGATATTTGTATACCGAAAATTGCATGCGCCAATATTTTGTGCTAGTGTGATGTTTTACAATAATACAAAATATCAGTGTAGTTTTTTATTGAACGAACATTTTGTACGAGTATGAATTAGAACGAGATAGATATATACTCCCTCCGCCCCATGAAACCTTTCTCCTTTCTTTTTTTATCCGTCTCACAAAACACTTCTCATTTCTATTAAAAAGTCACTTTTACCCCTTACTTTTTCATACCTTAACTATCACATCATACCTTTTTACTAATAATCTATCCATCAAATCATACTTTTACCCATCACATCAAAGGACATTTTTGGAAATTCAATACCAAAATACACTTCCCTTAAATTCCTCCTAAAAAGCAAAACTCTCATGTTTCATGGGACGGAGGGAGTAGTCTTTTAGTACGGAGATACCAATGTAATTTCTTTATTGAACGAACATTTTGTACAAGTACTCCCTCCGTCCACAAATAAACTTTACATTGCGCGTTACGATGTTTGACTGAAGTTATTTTCAACTCAATTTATATGAAAAATGGTGTAGAATTGAAAAATAAAAATTACATACTAAAAAACTATATCAAAAGATCTACAAAACTAGAGGTGACATGATTTTATTATTTTATCAAATGTGTGACGAAAATAGGCCAACAAAGTGAATAAAGTTTGACCCTATGAATAGTGAACGTAAAGTTTATATTTGGACGGAGGGAGTATAATTTTTTTAGTACGAACATTTTGTATAAGTATAGTCTTTTAGTCATTGAACGAACATTTTATTGAACGAATATTTTATTGAACAAACGTAGTTCGTTCAATAATGAATATTTTATTGAACGAACATTTTATTAAACGAAAAGACCATCTATCTCAGTACTAAGATAGATAGCTAGTCCTTTAATACTGAAATATATAGTCTTTTAATATTGAGATAGATAATCGTTTAGTACTAATCTATCTAGTATTGAGATAAATAGTCTGCGATAGGCTATCTATCAGTACTAAAAGATTTTAAAGATTTTGGTACTAAAACACTTTATTACTACGGAGTAAAAGACTAACTATCTCAGTCAGTACTAATTAAATCTATCTAATACTGAAATAGACTATCTCATTACTAAAAGACTATCTATTTTAGTACTAAAAAACTATCTATCTCAAACTATCTATTTTCAGTATGAAAAGACTATCTATCTTCAGTACTAAAAGGTTATCTATCTCAGTATTAAAAGACTATATATTAAACGAACATTTCATTGAACATTTCATTAACGAACATTTTATAAAACAAACATCTTATTGAACATTTCATTGAAGGAACATTTTATTGAACGAACATAGTTTTTTAGTACGAACATTTTATTGAACGAACATTTTGTACAATCTTTAAGTACAGAAATAATAATGTAGTTTTTTATTGAACGAACAAAATACCAATATAGTTTTTTTTGAACGAACATTTTGTACGAGTATGAATTAGAACGGGAATGAATTTTTTGTTGGAGACAATCATTTCTCTAGGCGGAAATAATCCGTCTACCCCACTCTAACGGTCGATTTTCCGACCTAAATTAAGCCACCCGTCGTCACTCATCATCAATGAAAGCTTACAAGTTACAAATCTTTCTCTCTCTCTCTCTCTCTCTCTCTGAAAATCAAATCTCGAATTCGGAAAATGGAGAACAGAGTGAAAGCAGAATCAGCCAAGGTTCAGCATGTCGCCAGAGCTTCATCGGACGAGCTTCTCCGGAAATTCGCCGAAGTCGGCTCTGCATCCGAAGACGAGCGAGAGCTCCGTCTAGTCAAGCGCCTGAGAAGGAGCGAAACCGCCGGCGGTCTCCGTCGCCGTCGCGGTGGCGGAAGGGAAGCGGCGAATTGCAGCGGCGGTTCGTCGGTTGTGGAGAGGATGTCACTTATCATCTCTCCGGCGGCGCCGGTCCGGCACTTCGGAATCGGGAAAGTCAGGGTCCGATCCATGGATTCAAGGACCAGGTCTTTCGTCGGTACTCTAAAGAAGGTAAAGATTATTTCGGCCCTGTTTGTGAATATACGCATAATTGTTAACAATTTAAAGTTTTGTTATGTTACAAATTAGCAACTTGATTAAAAATTAAAGCATGTTTGGTTCAAAATCAACAATTTTTTTAAGGCATGCTAAAAAAAATTGGGAAATGCTTGATTCACAAACACAATGGTCATAAACTTCACAAACTTACTATTTTTGAACTTCAATGGAAAACATTAAATAGTCTAAAATGATTTTAAAATAAAATTTTAAGTCATAAATAGTAGGTTTGTGAAGTTTGTGTCTATTTTGTTTGTGAACCTAGCTTTGCTCAAAAAAATTAAGCATAAATCTTTATCTTACACCTCTTTTGTTTGTGCTGGCATACAAACCAATCCCACACTGGAGATTTAAAAGAGAATGATAAATTGTGAAGATTTGGTCCAGAATAAAAAATATCATACTAATGTGAGATTGAGATGAGGTTACGCGAGGTCCCATTAGTTATTCAAAAAATTTTACACTTTATTTTATCAAGGTAAAGGATACGTGACTTATAAAACTCTTCGATCGCTTTTAAACAAATTTCAGAGTACCTAAAAAATACTCTTTCCATTTTAGTGTATTTGTTCAGTTTGACTTTATCGAGTCAGACTCGACAAGCTTTAAGCTTCAATTAAATAAAAATCATGACGTATTGAGAAATGAGAACTTTCAAAATTGTATTTCATTATTCTAATATACAATACAAATTGAGAACAATTAGATATTAAAATTTGTCCAGTTTGACTCGAAAAAATCAAACTTAATAAATACACTGAGACATGTGTAGCAGTGTTTAGCATTGCTATTTTAGGGAGTAGTTGTGATTTTACCTTCTTTTTTATAGCTTGAGTTGATTTTATTGACAAAATGGCAATTGTGTTGTTGTATGTATGCCTTTTTTTGTTCAGACATGGCGAAAGACCATAGAAGGGGCATCCAAGGTCTTCATTGAGAAACAATATAATGGACACAAACGCCTCATCAATGACATCTACTAGTTTAATTATGTGATTATTGAATATGTAATAATAATCATTATTTAATGTTGAGTGTTCTTTTTTTTGTTTTACTCAATGTTTAGCATTATTTATTTATTGGTAGGTATCGTTTTTCTACTTTCAAGTAGCTAAAATTAAACTCTATGTGCACACCTTCTCCTCATATTCTGTTTTTGTATAGAATTCTATTGAATTGTTGTGAGTTAAAAAAAAACAATTACTCTAATTCAATTCGTGATAGATTTAGAAATTTACATGGAGTTGGCGACTTGAGTCACATCTACCTTTTCTCAAATGCAAATAAATAAATAAAAGAAAAAAACATAACAATACAATGTACAGAGTATAATTTCGACAAATTTTTAGTGATCTCAATTTAAAAGCAATTACACGAATGAGGAGTGATCTCAATTTAAAAGCAATTACACAAATTTCTATATATTTACTGTTCGAGCCCTACTTTTGTACTTATGAAGTTTAGATTAATTTGAAGAGATATTACAGTGATGGTACGAAGGTTACTAAAATAAATACATAATGTAATTATACATTTGTGCATGGAGCATAGGATCCCCAATAGTTTTGGTGCTGGCCTGGCCAGGGAGGGGAAAGCTAGCTAGCTAGTTTTAACCTGTCTGTCATGGGCACATTATCAAGAGTCACTTGTGCCTGCCATTTCTAATTCAAAGGATTTGGATTTGGAGGAGCACTACATGACCCGACCCTTATCTCCTACTACTACAAGGCATTAAGGCATCTTCCTCTCCTTACAAGTGTCATATTGACGGACTCGGACCTTGTTCTCTTCACTTGATCTGAATGATTCTGATGTTATTGAAATATATTCTGGTCTGATTGGGTCTAATCCGATCTAAGTGTAGTTATGACTTAAACAAGATTTTTTATTTTTCCGTTTTGATCAGATTATTTATAAAACTACTTCTCACAGTTTATTAATATTCCTTAATGACTTATCTGTCACTAAAGCAATTTTACTTCTACGATAAAACATACTCTGTGTAACTTATAAACAACTTATAAAATAAAAATGACTAAACACGTGAAATTGAAAGATCAAAGATTTCCAAGTCTAATACCCTGTAATCCTTTATTAACTTATCTGCATCACACGTTTGTTTTTATAAAAGAACACACAAGTTAAATTAGTTTTAATAAGAAATTTACTTTAAAATTTTTAGAAAAAATAAGGAGAAGCAATGAAAAGTGTTCAGAAAGAGCTATGTCAATTAATGTCTCCAATAAAGTATGCGTTTACTCATTTCCTACACAATAATTTTTCTTGGGAATATGTTGCCTAAAAAATAAATTTTTATTTGAAAATTATTTTTCCTTGAGGCCCAAAAGTGTGGAGTATTTCGATTTTGGAGTGTAGATAATCAAAAGCAATAAAGAAAGGGAGAGAAGAAGTCTTTCATTCATTCTACTGAGAAAGAATACCAAATATAAAGCTGTGCTCCATTTTGAATTATCAGTCTTCATTCAGAATACTCTTTTCCAGTAGTAGTTTCCACTGCCAATTATTTTTCCCTATTTTAATATTTTCCAAATATGTCTCACTATTTTGTTTTTTTAGTTTTATGTTTGTCTCATTATTATTATTGATATTGTCTTTGTCCCAAAATATTTGTTGAATTTGTTTTGTTGTCAAATTGCCTTAATTTTGATTGTGAATTAACTAAAAATCACATTACACTTATTCTAAAACATTTTTCAAGACTTATCTTACATTTAAACAATTATTCCATTTAGATAATATGTAATGTATTTTTTTCAAGTGATGACCAAATATCACCCAACATGACTCAAAATATCAAACTCCAAGAATACTTAAAAGTAGAAAAAGTAATAATTACTCCATAATACTTTGTAACATTAACATGTCTCACATTTATTCCCACAACTTTTTTTTATTTTTAAATTTATTTGAGAAATTATCATACAATTTCTGCTTTTACTTGTCACATGTTATTTAATAAGTTGTCATCTATGGAGTATTACCTAATACTCAGATAAGATAATAAAGTCATGTTATAATGGAGTAAGTATATTATTTTGTGAATATAAAATTGTACAATTTATTTTATTTTACTTGTCTAACTTTTGAAGGAGTATATTTATACTCCCTCCGTCCAAAAATAAATTTTACATTGCGCGTTACGATGTTTGACTGAAGTTATTTTCAAATCATTTTATATAAAAAATGGTGTAGAATTGAAAAATAAAAATTACATATTAAAAAACTATATCAAAAGATCTACAAAACTAGAGGTGACATGACTATATTATTTTATCAAATGGGTGACGAAAATAGGCTAACAAAGTGAATAAAGTTTGACCCTGTGAATAGTGAACGTAAAATTTATTTGTGGACGGAAGGATTAAATTATAAGTCCTCTCCTGGCCGGATTTGCTGAGAAAGAAGAAACACTTCTTCTCAGTTGGCTTTATTATTACTCCGTATTATATATCTATGCTCCCACATTTCTTTCATACTTTCTCCAAATCTCTGTATATACACACGGATGGATATATACAATCAAGATTTCGAATTTCCACACATGCAACAATCTCCCAAATCGTTTCATTTTCTTGAATTCGTTGCAGCAGTTGTAACAGAATTCATCTTCTTCATCATCATCTTCTTCTTCTTCTCAGAATCATCTATAAATACTCCCCATTCCACTTGTTCATCCGCAAGACTCTTCTCTGATTTCTCTCTCGCGTATCCCGTGTAAGAACACTTGCGCATAGATATTCTTCTCTGATTTTATTCCATCTCCAGCCCTTTCTTGATAACCCCCCGTTTGATTGATGATAAAAATGAAATCTTTTTCAGGTTTCTGCGTGAGATTGGATTCTTGGGAGTGTTAGAGCGCAGGAATTCTCTTTTCTCTTTTACCTTTTTCTTTATTGTATGGTTCTCTCGTTAGCTTTGGTTTCTTTGATTTGTATTGCTCTGTTAATTCTGGGGTTTATGAGTGGGTTCGGGTTCTGATTGAATTTCTGCGATTCTTTTTTCCCCAGAATTTCAAGAAGCTTCTGCAATGGCGCCGTTCTGGGAAACGATTTCGAGGTGCTGGAAGCCATTGAAGAAGAAGTACACCCGCGTGAGGAGGGAAGAAGGCAGTACGAATAATCTTGGCAGGGAAGACGACGAGCTCCTCTGGTTCAGAGACATCGGAAAACACAGTTCCGGCGACTACTCCTTCGCCGTCGTTCAAGCCAACCCTGTCCTCGAGGACTACAGCCAGGTCGACACCGGACCCCAGTCCACCTTCGTCGGAATCTATGACGGCCACGGCGGCCATGAAGCCGCCGCTTTCATCTGCAACAACCTTCTCAAGAATCTTTCCAGTCAGTTCTTCTTCTTCTTCTTCCTCCTCCTTTCTTTAAATTACAGAACTCTGTGTTAAATAATTTCTGGGAATTTCTTTCTTCACAGGGATAGCCATAGAAGAAGGGAGAATGTCCGATGAGGTGCTGAGAAACGCCATAGCCGAGACAGAAAACGGGTTCCTGAGGATTGTGGAAGACGAGTTCGAGAAGACGCCGTTGATTGCAATCAAGGGCTCTTGCTGTTTGGTGGGGCTCATTTGGAAAGGGACATTACTCGTTGCCAATCTTGGAGATTCAAGGGCTGTTCTCGGAGTTCTTAACAGGCCCAACAATGGAATCTCCGCTGACCAATTGACCAGTGAGCACAATGCCTGTTCTCCCGTTGTTAGGGAAGAGCTCAGATCTCGCTATCCCGGCGATGAAAAGCTCGTCGTCTTCAAAAACCAAGCTTGGCGTGTTAAAGGAATCATTCAGGTTTTATTTCTGCATCCAAACGCGCCTTAAAGAAATTCTCTGTAATTTTTAAAATTTATTTATGGGGCGGTTTTGTTTTAGGTGACGAGGTCCATCGGAGATGCATATCTGAAGAGGCCGGAGTTTGGGTTGGGCCCGGAGTATCCAAGGTTTCATGTGCCGGAGGGGATTGATGGGCCGGTGCTGAGGTCCGACCCGAATGTGTACACGAAGCGGTTGACGCCGGAGGACAGGTTTCTGATCATGGCGTCGGACGGGCTGTGGGAGCATTTGACCAGTCAACGGGCCGTGGAGATGGTGCATATGAACCCGAGGCCGGGAATTGCCCGGAGGCTGGTCAGGGCGGCGTTGACCGAGGCGGCGGCGAAGGCCGGGATGACCTATGACGCGATCAAGGCGTTGGGGAGTGGGGTGAGGAGGAGGTTCCACGATGACATTACGGTGGTCGTTGTTTTCATAGATCAAATCCAGGGCGGCGGCGCCGGCGGGAGGGTTGTTTCCGTCAAGGGGTTCTCCCTGAGCGACGGCCCATCTGACCTCAACGACGTATTTCTGCTGGCCGGCGGCGACGATCCCGCTGGGCCCTCCTCCTCCTCCCGCGGCGACGATGCAGCTGGGCCCTCATCCTCCTCCCGCGGCGAATCTTCTGAATCTAAGCCTCTGATAGTGGACCCCAAGTCTGGCGGCGACGATGATGACGCGGCGGCCAGAAAGGGCAAGGGAGCGGCGGCTACGTGCTGAAAAGGCGCGAATTCTTTCGACCCAGAAGTTTTTAGAAAAAACGACCCAGTAGAAGCAAAAAAAACATTCTTTTGTTTTTTACACTGACTTACAGTAAAAAAAATAGTGAGGTTCTTTTAGAAGTTAAAAAAAAATAGGCATTCTTTGGTTCTTTTGGTACAAAAAAAAAGGTGAGATTCTGATAGTGTATGGAAGTTCATAGATTCAACAAATAGGCAAAAAAACAATTTATAGTCTCATGTTTTGCTTCAAAGTTTTCATCTTTGATATGTTACTTTCTTCCTTCTGCTTTTTTACTACTGCTTCATATGTCCATTCACAGTGTTATTTTTGAACACTTTTTCCCTTTGAGTATTTCACTTTGACATGTGAGAGAAATGAGCATTAAACCAGAAGAAATGAAAGAACAGAGAACCAAACACTACTAATAAAGTTGTTTCTATTTTTCATTTATTGCATTGATGATGGATGATACTCTACTCTTGTTTGTTGAGTGAGTGTGTGTCCACACACTTTTACATTAAAAATAATAGAATAATAAATAAATAAACAAAACCCAATGGAATTAAACTTCATAAATAGTAGTAGTATTAGTAATAATAACAATAATTATTATAATTATGATATATATATATATATATAAATAAACAAATAAAATGGAAGCAGCAACAGCAATGAAGGGCAACTGTTTCCATAACTAACACAGCTTCCTTGTTGTTGAGGTTGTTGTTGTTATCTTATGCATCAATCTCATGATGATGATGATGATGAAGATGATGGCACAGTGGCAGCAAAATGTTTAGAAGCACTTTCTGTGAACAATTGAAGGCCCTGACTCATCATATTCTGCCTTGGCTATCCACATCTGTCATCAACATCCATAACATAAATTTTGTTTCATTCTTTTAATGTATGAAATGTAATTGAGAGAGAGAGAGAGAGAGAGAGTAGTTCAGCATTCTTTGAATTTATGTCTAAACAAGTTTTTCTTGATAGACAAATACCTGTTGGAATGTGCTGAGGGAAGCCAGGATAGAGCCACCAATCCAAACACTGTACTTCCTCTCCGGCGGGGCAACGACCTTGATCTTCATGCTGCTGGGGGCCAGCGCAGTGATCTCCTTGCTCATCCTGTCAGCGATTCCGGCGAACATTGTGGTCCCACCACTCAGGACGATGTTCCCATACAGGTCCTTCCTGATGTCCACGTCGCACTTCATGATTGAGTTGTATGTGGTCTCGTGGATGCCGGCGGATTCCATCCCAACCATCGAGGGCTGGAACAGGACCTCCGGGCAGCGGAACCGCTCGTTGCCGATGGTGATCACCTGCCCGTCGGGCAGCTCGTAGTTCTTCTCCACGGTTGAGCTGCTCTTCGACGACTCCAGCTCTTGCTCGAAGTCAAGAGCAATGTAGGCCAGCTTCTCCTTCACGTCCCTCACGATTTCCCGTTCTGCTGAGGTGGTGAAGTTGTAACCCCTCTCGGTCAGGATCTTCACCAGGTAGTCCGTGAGGTCACGTCCTGCCAAGTCCAGACGAAGGATGGCGTGGGGAAGGGCATACCCTTCATATATAGGGACAGTGTGGCTCACACCATCCCCAGAGTCCAGAACAATTCCTGCCAACAAACACCAACCATTAGGCATAAGGGCATAAGACAATTGGGTTGGACTACGCTAAAGATTGGTTACCTTAGTAAAGGATAAAAACCTGTTTTGATACCATTATAAGAACTTAAAGATTGATATGGGTAGCTAAATTGGGCCACAAAACACTTGAGCTGAATCACACCAAAAGAGTGAACCCAATTGATTATTTACTTCAACTCAAAACCTTATTATTCTTTCTCTAATTTTCTGGTGCAAGATACCTTTAAGAAAACCAGACTTCATACAACTATATCACTAAGTCCATTGTTGATACTGCATGGGATTTTAATTGGTGAAGGATGAACAATGTGTAATTATATTAAATTACATATCTATATTTATTCATCAAATTCAAATTGAATGTCGTTTAATCACATGAATTAGAGGCATCAAACGTGGGCAGAAGCTTACCAGTTGTACGACCACTGGCATAGAGGGAGAGGACAGCCTGAATAGCAACATACATGGCAGGGGCATTGAAGGTCTCAAACATGATCTGAGTCATCTTCTCACGGTTAGCCTTGGGGTTAAGAGGGGCTTCTGTGAGAAGCACTGGGTGCTCCTCGGGTGCCACACGAAGTTCGTTATAGAACGTGTGATGCCATATCTTCTCCATGTCATCCCAGTTGTTGACAATTCCATGTTCAATTGGGTATTTCAGGCTCAAAATACCTCTCTTGGATTGGGCCTCATCGCCAACATAAGCATCTTTCTGTCCCATACCAACCATCACTCCCGTGTGTCGGGGGCGTCCCACAATGCTAGGGAAGACTGCCCTTGGGGCATCGTCTCCCGCAAATCCAGCCTGAAAATTCCAAGAACATTTAAAATGCCTAAACCCACTCCCAGAAAAAATGCTATTGAAGGATATTAAGAGTAAAATGGAAGGGAAATTTAAAAGGGATGATAATTAATTTCTTTAAATACTAGTTCTAACTCAATACATCAAACATTTGTTAAAAATTACTTCCTTCATCCTACATATTTCTTCCCTTTTCTTGATCAAACCTTCTTAAATTTGATTACAAAATGCAGAAAAATTACACTGAGTAATAATGTATCAAAAACTTGATTTTGAAATGTAGAATTAAAATATCTTATTTTTACATGCTACGGAGTACTATATATCTATATACTCCTATATAAATATATCTATATATAAACAAAGAAGACATCAATGGTCAAAAAAGTCAATGGGAGATCATGAAAAGTCAAATGAACAAAAAAGGATATGATCATTTTCCCCTGTTTGTTTTTCTTCTTAAATTTCCATGTCATTTTCATAGTCTACCCACGAAGAAGATTTGTACCTTGACCATTCCTGTGCCATTGTCACACACCAGAGGCTGAATATCCTCACCTTCTGCCATCTTCTAAAAGTGCTGTGAGAAAACCAGACATGTTAAGCAAGTATTGAGCATGAGGGCAAAACTTAATACAAGATCAATTCCCGATCATAGCTCAAATTAAGAGCAGACCCAGAAAATGACGAAGCTGATAAATTTCAATCAGTAGTAGTTTGATCACTATGAATCTCTATGTTCATTTCAAAAAAGAGTTACACTCGCAGATCGTCAGATCCGATTCCAAAGGAAGAAAAACCAGATCGCCAAACGCGAAAATGGAAAAAATGAAAATATGATCGAAGAAAATGTTCCGATTTTGCAGCAAATTGCCATACATTTCCCCCCCGATTGCATGAGATTAACCCCAAAGATTCAAACTTTGACGAAGAAAGTGTTCAGATTTTGCAGAAAATCGCTAAACGTGTCCCCCGATTGCATAAATTAACCTCAAACGATTCAAACTTCGAGGATGGAGGGATATGAACACAATGAAGGCTTTTATTAAGTACCTTTTTTTTCAAATGGATTTCTCAGGGTCTTCTTCTTCTTCTTCGATTGCTCCTGCTTGAACAAAGAATAATTGTTTTCTGCTCGTCCTCGTCGGGTTTATAAATACGTGTGGATCTTCGAAGGACTGAGTCTCGGCCTCAAATTGACGTTCGGGTCAAATTTGCCCCAGAAAATCGGATCTGCAGAAGATAATGGCCGTAGCTCTCGTGCGTGGTTCAAATTGCTGGGCTTTGGGCTTTCGTTCGTTTTGTTTAAGGAGAGGACAATTATACCCTTTGTTCATTTTCAAATTTTTGAATATAAGCAGACTTTCTTTTTACCCTTTGTCCAAGTTAAACTAAAAACCTTTTTTGGAAGTAGTATAACATTCACAAATTTTCAATTTGCAAATTTAGTTTTCATTTTGAGAATTTCATAAATAGTCATTTATAAAATAATGTTTTCGGACCTGTTTGGGAATATCGTTAGAGATTAGCGTTAACGATTTGGATAAAATTTTAACGGTGCAGATTAATTTGAAAATCCTAACGCTAAACGCTGTTCGTAGATAACCTTTTAAAAACACTAACGCTAATATCTAACGCTATTCCCAAACAGGCCCTTCATATATAGACTCTAAGATACTACGTTTATGGTCCTCAATATCTAGGAATGATTACATAATGAATCTTTTAGAGATTATACATGAAAAATAATATTTAGATAAAAGGTCTGGTTATGAAATGATTCTCAAATATTTAGGATTATGAATGTAATATCTCATCATTATAGACATACAAAAATTTTAGGGCAAATTTTTAACTGGTCCTTTGTAATAAGTTGTTTTCTTGATCAGTTATCAATAAGTCATAATTACCTACGTAGTTCTTTATAATTAAGATTTATTTCCCAGGCAGTTTTTCGCAAATAATGTTATTCAAGTGATGATTAATGAAAGAGAATTTTGGTATTTCTATCATCTAAATTTAAAGTATATTCTCAAAATGGTAAATTGTATACAATCAAATGTAAAATAAAAAATACATTGACTATATATAATCCATGAATTACTAAAAATCTATAATTCTAAAATTCAAATCAAAGACATAACTTTAATTAGAAAAGCCGTTTTTGGAAAGTGTTTCATTAGAAATGATCATTTTAAAAACTTATTCTAAATTTAGCTGATAAAAATATCAAATATTACCCAATTAATAACCATTTAGCAACATAATTTACGAAAGATTATCTATGAAATAAATTTCAATTATAGAGGACCACATATGTAATTAAAACTTATTGAATACTGATTTGAGAAAAAAATATTATTACAAATGATCATTTTGAAAAATTTACTAAAAAATTTATATTAGAAAGAATCAATTATGAAATTTATTTTAATTTTTTTGAGAGAATTAGACAATGAGAGATCATTTTACGAGTATTGTTTTAGATCGGGCTAAATTCAACAACGTAAGGCCCATAATAAAAGTAATCCGCAAACAGAAAATGGAATAACCAGGCCCAAACAACCGGAGCAACACATTTTTCGCAGCCATTTTTCCTCTCTCAAGCGTTCAATCCCTCAATGTTCTTCCCTTCATCTGCTCAATCTCAAGAACATTCAAAATAAAAACGATGAATGCGAACAGAGGCATCTTTGCGCTGGTAAAATCTCACCAGCTTATCCCTTCGAACATTAGGGTATCTTCTTTTCATTCCACGCATATCCTCGAACGCAAGAGACGCTCATATTTTGATCCTGTTAGTCTCTCTTTCTCTCTATATTGCTATTTCTTTGTGTTTATTTGGTTTGAACTGGGATATTTTGAAATGGGTACGCTGGATTTATATGTATCTATGCATTTTTGCATAAAAGAAGATGTTTTGCGCAGACATGCTGTCATGTTCTGGTATGAATACTTGTAAAGGTTCGATCTTTTCATGTTTAATGGCGGAATGTCTGTGTTTAGTTCCAGAAGTTTCTTGAAATTGAGATTATATGTGGTTGGTTTCTTGTATTGTGGAATGGGGCTCTGCCAAAAAAATTGAATTTAAGTTTTTTCCTAGGGAAGAAGGGCGAGTAGGAAGGCTCCATCAAGGGTAAGATAAGTTTATCTCATTGTATTTATTGATTTTTAAATGTGAACATAGATATCACGAGTAATGCGAAATGTTGCTCTATGTCAAGGATCCGACCTTGTTTTTGTAGCTTTAGGAAAGGTTTTATACCCTAACATGCACCCTCATCATGTCCTCACAACCATGTGAGATTTGTTTTTTTGCTCGAGCCTTTGAAATCCTGACCCCTAAGTCATGAATGTTGGCATCAAATAATCAATTCAACCAAAAGCTCAAGCTTGCATTTGTTGGTCTAGGATAGCTGTTGTACTCTAACACTTTATAGAGCGTCATCCTTGATGTATAATTATTAATAAAATCCACATTGTCAAATATGAATAATATGGAATCTTGTCTGCTTTAAACGTTGCTTTATTGAGAAATAGATCATCATACAATCTGAAAAACAATTTTTCTTTTGAAAAAAATAAATACTATAAGTCTTACTCTGTACATGAAGTCCCAATTTTATATGCTAATCCAGAGAGGGTCAGGTTGTATTTATCATCTTTATAAACTGGATAAAAATGTACTCCCTAGTATGTACTATATATGAAAGGATGTATCGTAACATACATACTAATGTTACCAAACCATAGTTTGATATTTGTAAACCAGTAAAATGTTAGTTTAATACTTTAATGCATGTGTATGTCATGTTTATCCTTTCAGTTCTTCTGACCTTGTTTTGGTTTGGGTGGAGTGCAAGTGAATATTTTCGTTATGATCATGATTTGTTAAGCCCAAAATTGTGAAACTTGTTTAGACTGCAAAGCCTAACCTTTCTCAATTATGGATTACTTTCAATAGCACACAACAGAGCTTTCTTACACTGCAATTGATTAGGAATGAATTGTCAAAAATGCCCATAGCCCATAAATTTCATTCACCCATTAACTATCATCATCTTCATCATTTATGTGGATAAGTTTTTACTATCATATTATATACTCTTATGTCAAGCAAACATGCAATTATTTGAAGTGTGCTACTTGCAGAGGTTTAACTATGAGAACAAAAGATTTAGGAAATTCAATGCAAAACAAACATTGTTGCGAAATGTCAGTTCATTTGCGGATGAGTTATTTCAGGTTATTTCTGAAGAAGATGAAATTTTGATGTCACAACATTACATTTTAATATAAAATTGAGGTTCTTTTGACACCACTCATGGGCGTCTAATATGGTTCCTACCCCTTAGCCCCCACCCCGCCCCAACTCTTCTGGGTTTGAAATTGCGGACTGGGGGGTTAGGGGGACAAGAACCATTTATGAGTCCAATAGAGCACCGTAAGGCTCTCAAATGACCTGGTGTCATATTATGACACCCGCCTTTGGTGTCAAAAGAAATCCATTCTTAGTATACTCCCTCCGTCCAAAATTAAACTTCCCAGTTTGACTCAGTGCGCAAATTTATGTGGAATGAAAATTGGGTTGACTTTCCTATTATACCCCTCAAGCTTTTAGCCATCTCCCCCTACTGATATCTAGCACCCCACCGCCGGCGGTGCTTCTGCAGCCCCTCGCAATCAAAAGCCCCCGCCGCCACTGCCCCCTCGCCGTCAAAAGCCTCCGCTGCCGCTGCCCCCTCGCCGTCGAAAGCCCCCTGGTCAGATCTCGTGGTGGGGTGACAATCTAACTCCGGCGAAAGATGCAATCCAATATCGTCATAGATGGAAGAAGATGCAATCCGTTAGATCTAGTTGACGGGAGAAGAAAGAAAAAAAGGAAGAAGAAACAGAAAAAAATGAAGAAGAAGAAAGAAGAAGAAGAAGAAGGAAGAAGAAAGAGAAAATTGAAGAAGAAACAATCAAAGGACCGAAGAAGAAAGAGGAATAAGAAAGAGAAAGAAGAAAAAGAAAGAGAAATGAAGAAAGAGAAAGCACGGAAGAAGAAAGAAGGAAGAGGAAGAAAGAAAAAAATGAAGAAAGAAAAAAGAAACGGAGGAAGTAATGAAGAAAGAAGGAAGAGGAAGAAGATGGGACAAGGGTAGGAAGGACATTTCCTTCCTAAAAACTTTCCCAAAATAGAAATGAGAAGTTTATTTGTGGACGGATGAAAAAAGAAAGTGGCAAGTTCAATTGTGAACGGAGGGAGTAATACATACTATCTCCGTCATTGAGTATTTGTCCAGTTTTGACTTTTTTCGGTCAACTGTTTTCAACCTTTGACCTATAATTAAATAAAATATATATTGTATATAAATTAGATGAAATAATATTTTAAAAATATTTGATATAATAAATCTAATAAAACTATTTTTGTATCAATATCTAATATCATTTTAAATTTGATTTGAGGTCAAAGTTTATCAATCTTGACAAAAAAAAAGTCAAAAATGGACAAATACTCAGGGACAGAGTGAGTAATAGTGTTATATTTAGGGCTTGTAATCTTACACCATTTGAAGTGATGTAATATCGTGACACCTGTTAAATTGGAGCCGTTCATAAAATTGATGATTTCTACATCATGACCTCTCTCACAAACCCCTACCCTGACCTCACCCCCTTACGCCTACCCTAGCCCCCGCAAGTGCACCATATAAGCTCGGTTGACATTTTTTTGACCAAAATGTCAATGAAACTTATATGGTGCAATTGCGGGGGCTACAATGGTTGTGAGGGGGCGAGGTCAGGGGTGGGAGTTTGTGTGAGGAATTATGGGGGGTAGGAACTGTCAATTTTATGAACGGAGCACCGTAGGTACTTTATTTTAATTGGTGTCACAATCTTACACCACTTGGAGTGGTGTATGATAACAACTCCCATAATATATAATACGGAGTATATTCTAGAATCAGCCCAAAAACTTGACAATAATGATAGACTGATAGTGTTTTATTAATTTTGTCATACCTTTCTAATGATTTTGTTTCCTAGTATTCAGAGCTGGCATTGTGATTTTAATGACGACTATGATTCTTCTTCAAGCCAAGGTTGGAGGTGGTTTGACGAGGATTGTTCGTATAATGCATCAAATTCAAGCAGATCAAGGAACAAAGGGCGGTTTGATGAGGATTTTTCGTATAAAGCATCAAAATCCAGCAAATCTAGGAGCAAGGGATCCCATAAATGGAGTAAGCTACTTTATAGTGGTGGAATAAGACATTTCCTTTGCTCTAAGCCCTTGTTTGGTTGGTTGGAAGATTTTGAATGAGAGGAAAGTGAAAGAGTGGTGTGTGTTTGGTTAAGAGAGTTAGGCTATGTTTGGTTTTGGCGGAGGGGACCCTTAATCTCCCCTCCTACCCCCCACCCCCCCTCCATTTTCAATCCCCCCAAATCGGGGTTTTTTTGTCTCCCTCTTTTCTTCTTTGTCTTCCTTTAATTTAAATATTCTTCTTCTTCCTATTCTCTTCTTTGTCTCCTCTAATTTCACTTCACCCAATTTTGGTTGATTTTTAGGGAAATTATTTTTTTCTCTCTTTAATATCTTTCACTTTTATAATAATAAAAACAAAAAAGATCAATGCTATTTTGGCTATCTCACTATATATTATACATTTATACTTTTCTTTTAAGGAAATTTTCGCAGTTTTGTGATTTTTCCTTTTAAACAATTTTCAACATCAGCCTTTCACTTTCAAGTTTGACGTCATTCATGACACCACTGTGTCTCATAGACATGCACATACAATATATTATGTACCAGTACCGGTGTCATCAACAACGGTGTCATCAACAAGGGCTAAGACAAACTCCTAACATTTTCCTTTTTAATAAGGGTGCCACTATACGCTATGAAGTTCATATCGAAATTAAATATCTTTTCAATAACAACGAATATATTATGGACCAAACAAGGGCTAGGCTTCATAAGTTACGTATTTCTTAAGCTTTTTTTGTTTTAATTTGCAGGTGAGTTACGGTTTGTTGATGATTTGGGCTTAGAAGTAGAAAACTTTTTCCGTACTGGTTTCGGTGGAAAACACAGCTTCAGTTGGTCATTTGTAAATGAAGATTTCCCACATAGACATTCATCGCGTCACTCTAACACTTATGGGCATTCAAAGCAGAGGTTTAGGCATAAATATGAGTATGATGATGATGATGATTATGGATCGAGAGAACTTGAAATGCGCCAAACTGATTTGAGGTCCCAGCGACTTGCCCTTGGCTTGAATGCCTCCGGTCCCTTAAATCTTGAAGATGTCAAAAACGCGTAAGTTTTTCTTCAAGCCTCATCATCTCAGAAACAATCTCTCTTCTCTGTTTTCCAAAAACCATCGCAATATGCAGTTGTTGTTTCTTAAAAAAAATGTTCCCTTGATTATGATGTCTCATGCAGATATCGTTCGTGCGCTTTGAAATGGCATCCGGATCGCCATCAAGGTCCTTCCAAGGTATTTTCTTTGTCTTCCATTTAAGGCAACAAAATAATTTTCTTTTCCCTCGCGTGTATAGACTATTGGCTACAATAATGTTCTTTTGTCACCAAAAGCCAGTGTCTTAATATGACACTGGTCCATTTGAGGGCCCCACGGATGGAGCGCCATAGGGCCTTCAATTGGTCTGGGTGTCATATTATGACACTGCGGTTGGTTGTCGGAAGAACCTCAGTGATAGTAATAATAATGTCTTATGCAAACTTGGAAAAAACATGGTTGTAGGTGGTCGCTGAAGAGAAGTTCAAGGCTTGCAGTTCGGCTTACCAATCGCTGTGCAATAATATATCTCTCAACTAATCATCTGCCCCAGCAAGTGAAATGACGTTTTTAGCCCTTAACGCGTGGCTCCTGTAATGTTCTCTGTTCATTTAGGTCATAAACAAGAATGCAAGACTGCCTCCATATGTAACCTATTTTTCATTGACATTTTTCTTTTTGAAAGTTGTAAATTGTGATGCTGTGATGTACTGTTATTGCCAATTTGCCATAGACACAGGCTTAAGGTTATAGTTGATGAACTTAAAGAGTTTGATTTCCATGGAGTGTGAAGCTTTCATCCAAAGTTTGTGTTGGATCATTCTCATTTTTTTGGGTTGATTTACAATTATCTAAAACAAGTATGGAGCAAAATATACTCTTTCCCTCCCAAGTTCTTCATGCAACTTTGATTTTTTTTTTTGGTTAGTCAAGATTAACCTTTGACTTATTATTAAAATAAAATTATATGGTACAGAGTATGTATAATTAGATAAAACAACATTTTGAAAATGTTTTACAAGATAAATCTATCAAATTATTTTTTGTATCTAAAAAATAGTATCAGTTTTATTTAATTTGAACCTGACAAAATTTGTTAACTTTAACTATAAAAAGTTAAATCTGGACAAGAAATCCGGAAGGAATGTAATATAGTAATCCTTTTTCCCAAAAAAATTAAAATAAAAAAATATAGTTGAATCATTTTTAGCAAACTCAAACCGCCAAGAGCCTCGTATCAATACTGGTCACAATTTAACCTTTTCGAGAACAAAACGATTCCAGAACCTGTATCATTAACTTGAGTACCTCGAGTACTAGTACCGCTGCCGTGAAAACCCCTACCCGAGTAGCATTAGAAAGTCTATCATTGACTAAAATGTTTATTTGGGAGGAATGTTAAGGCTACACCAAAAAGTGTAACACAGTTCTACACCAAGGTAAATGAGACATAATCCTGTGCCCCTTATTCTTTTCAAGATTATATCCCTACTTTTTCTTTACACTATTTACTTTATTTCATTACATCCAGGGCAAGACATGAAAAGTCTTTATATTTTTTCTTAATCTATGTACCAAGTCAGTTTAAGAAAGAAATTTTTTAACGGAGGTAGTATTTTTTAGGATTAAGCTAGGGGTACACCAACATGGGGTACCCCAAGTGTACACCAAGCCAACACAGACACACACAGACACAAAGTGTCTGTATTGCACAGACATTTGGTGTCTGTGTGTGTCTGTGTTGGTTTGGTGTACACTTGGAGTACCCCATGTTGGTGTACCCCTAGTATTGCCCTATTCTTTAACCTACTCCTAACATTTTTCTTATTTTACTAGTAGGGAAATGATTAATTTGGTTTAAGGATGGTTCCAATACCAGGGCGCTCCGGTGCCCCAAATGATGATTGAACAGTGCTGACTTTTCAATCAACAGATAAAAGATCAAATTTTCTCTCCATTCTTCATCTTCACCAAATGCTTCCCAGTTCCCACCCATGAAGTGGTAGCCGCAACAGCAAGAACTGTACAATCCGAATTGAAGTTGCAGTTATCAAAGCTCGCCGACAATCCGAAACCCATAAAGATTTAAAAAAAAATAAAAAAGCTTGCAGCTGAATTTGCTGTTATGTAGATGCGAATAATGCTCAAAGCCATTCAAATTCTGGGTTCATCATCATCATCTTCTTCTTCAGGGTTCGTCTTCTTCTGCGCACTGAGGAAGCCGCCGCACCCTAATTCCGCCCTCTCCTTCATTTCAATTAAACCCTCTCCCGCATCTTCCAAATCAACTTTACCGGCTCTTTTGCCGCGCCGTCGCAGTACAAGTACAGGCTTCCGAATGTACTCCTCTTGCCGCCGCGATTCAAATCCGGCCGGGACATCGTCTTTGTCGCCATCTGGAGGAGTGGCATCGTGTTTTTCTGCTTCGTCTGGACCCTTTCAGCCCCCTGTGAGTTCCTGGTTCCCCTGATCTGTAATGTTATGGTTCGTTGGGTTGCATCGATTTTCTGGATTTCTTCACTTTTCTTGCCATATTTGCTTTATTAGTTTGTGAATTTGTGATTTCTCTACTTATATTCAACAATGTTAGTTGGGATTTGGCTTGATAATTGAAAACCAGGTATTAAACATGTTATGTTCAAACAAGAAATTGGGTCTTGGTAATCCTAACAAGTTGAGCATAAGGAGCCTAGTTAAACTCAAGTGTTGTTCTATTACAGTTCATCTTTCTGAATTCCACTTTAGATTAGTCGATAGGGTTAATTCACTTACTTTTCATGTCTGGCAATGAAGACATGCCCTATTTGGTTTGTAATTCACTTTGCTTTAGCCTTGCATCCGGTTTCTCTCTCATACCATTTGCTTGAGCATCTACTACTCTGCAGATAGGCGTTCACAAGATCAAATTTTGCCAGTCATGTGGTGGGCCTATGAAGCACGAGGTTCCCAATGGGGAGGAGAGGGAGAGAGCTATTTGTACTGTTTGTGGGGGGATTGCGTATGAGAACCCAAAAATGGTAAGCTCATTGATGTAGGAGACATTATCATGCGCGCATGCATTCTAGATTCTTTGTTGCACATGTTTATTCATCACATATGTTTTAAGCTATTCAGGACCAAAAGGTGTTTCTACTTCAGGAACAGTTAGTTTCTTCTTGACTGTGATTGGTGATGGCACACTTTAAGCTTTGATAAAGTATCCTTTTATGTTTTATAGTTGTTTCTATAGTTGCATTTGTATTTCATAGTCAGAGGTGAAATTCTTGGATTTATGAAAGACGAACAACTGCGAAAGCATTTGCCAAGGATGTTTTCATTAATCAATGCAACTTTCGACGTTGAGCCGGGGGTCTCTTTGGAAACAGCCTCTCTACTTTCGAGTAGGGGCAAGGTCTGTGTACACACACCCTCCCCAGACCCTACTCTTGTGGGATTTAACTGGGTTGTTGTTGTTGTTGTAGTTGTTTCTATAGTTGTCTTTTTTGGTTGTCTTAGTCAATCCGTCCATTCACTCCATTGCTAATGGTGCTAAAAGAGTCATCATTCACAATGTTTTAGTTTCGAGCACATAATGAATTAAATAAAAAAGGTGAATTAAATAAAAAAGGCACATTAAACTTTCTTCGTTTCTTAATCGCTATGAAGAGTTGAGAAATAAATGCAGCAATGCATCTATGGTTCAATGGTCAACGGTAACATCTTCTAATCTTCTATGCTTTTACACGGGTAAGATTGCGTACATTTTGACTCCCCAGAGCCCAAGGGAGTTGGAATCGTACTAGATTGTTGTTGGTCGTTTTGGTCAAAGTTATCATTCGTTTAGCATTTGGTTGTTCTAACCCGTTTTTATTTTTTCTTGAGTTGACGGTCTTCTAGAAATGTCTCTACCCTTTTAGGTAGGGATTGACTTTGCTTACACCTACCCTTCCCAGACCTTACCTGTGGGACCTTACTGTGTTGTTGTTGGTCAAGTTAACATAAGGATTCTAACATTTTGAATGTTTCATTTTTTGGGAGATAGTTATTGAAATTCTGTGCTGATGCATATGAGAAATGAGCTCTTTGTTAAAGTTTGCTTTTTTTAAATAATGCAGGTCGTTGGCTGCCTTATCGAACATGATAACAAGATACTGCTTTGCAAACGGAACATTCAGCCATCTCATGGCCTTTGGTATGTGTATACTTATCAAAAGCTACACTGAAATAGTTTTTTAATAGAAATTTTCATATGCCTCCACAGAAATACTAAAATTAGGGATATGAAAAAGAAAAGAAATTGGCTAATTACAATTTCTTGAAATCATCTATAAACATAACTGTAATTATTTCTTACTCAATCCGGATTGAACCCGGTTTTAGAATTCTTATGTCAACTAAAATTGAAAAGTAATATTTAATTTAGGACTCTTCCTGCCGGTTACCTGGAGATGGGGGAATCAACAGTAGAAGGGGCAATGAGAGAAACATGGGAAGAGGCTGGTGCAGAAGTCGACATCATCTCACCATTTACTCAGTTGGACATCCCTCTTATTGGCCAAGTACATAACTTTGAAACTCTTGCTCCACTTATTTATTTGCATTTGGAATACAAGGCCCCATTTGGCCACCATAATCATATTTTATTATGCATACCATTAGAATACACGTTTTTTTACTTGTTTGTCTTGATGATATTTGAGCCGGGGGTCTCTTGGAAACAACCTCTGCACGTAATCACACCCTCCCAAGACTATTTTTTGTGTAGAATTTTACTGGTTTTGTTGTTTTTGTTGTTAAATGCTTGGTTGAAAATTGAAATGGATGTTTACGCTTTTTCCTAGTAGAAAACTGATTGTCTCTCTTATTGGGGACAGACCTACATAATTTTCTTGGCCAAGTTGAAGAGACCTCATTTTTCACCCGGTCCAGAATCATCCGAATGTCGGCTCTTTGAACTCGGAGAAATTCCTTTTGAATCTTTAGCTTTCTCATCCATGTTGGTCACTTTGGAGTTGGTATGTTACATGGCTAGAACTCCACATAATTTTTCTATCACTTGCTTTTATTCCCAAGATATCTCTACTAATGTTTTTTTTCCCAACATATATCTTGTGCTTGTAGTTCATAGAAGATAGAAAAGCTGGAAAACCTATGTTTCACTATGGCATCATTAACAAGAGGTACTCCCTTGCCATTTCACCGAAAAATTGGCATCTTAGGGTGTGTTTGGTGATGATTAAAATATGAGCTCAATTGTGTTTTAAAAAAGGGGAAACTTATAAGGGCCTGTATGGATGAGTTTGGAAATATCTACCCAAAGTTGATAAGATAGACTTTACCGAACACTCACAAAAGGGTTCAAAGATCTGGAACCATATTTGCTGTGCTCACCAAACGAGCCCTTAGAAGTGTTAATGAATTAACCTCCTGGCTATGGTTGTTGAACAGGCCTGGCACGAGCCCCTCCGAGATTCGCGCATACACTCTTGATCATCACTTTCAATGTTGATCGATGGAGATTCACATACGATCCCAAATCCCGATTGTTCCTCCGTTCGGTTTCACATATGGTCCATCCAAACAAGAAATCCTCTATTTGGCTAAACAAAAAAAAGTCGAGAATGAAGTGGTGGTGCTATGGGGTGGCACTATGTGGGGGAATGTAGTGACAACTTGCTTTCAAGATTGGACCTCACTGTTTACACACTTAGTTGCAGCAGCATCTAATCATCTCTATCTGTGTGTACTTTTGCACCCACCAGGCCACCATAT